ATTTCCAAGAATCTTGCAGTCAGTAAGTGGAATTAATATTATTTCTAACATTTGAAAATCTGTCCTGATTTTGGTTTTGAGTGAGGTAATTCATGTAGCAATTCATTCATTAATATTAATTTGCTACATTTTAAAACAAATAGATGAATAATCATAAAACCCTAAACAGTGCAGTAGTAATACATTGTAGAAGGCATACAGACTGCTGGTATTCTAAGTGAATTTTTCATCTATAACCTAATTGGGCTAACTTTAAAGGCAGTGATTAATAAAATAAAATGTATTGACACTTTACCCCAAAAGCATTGCATATGTCAGTGTTTGATATATCTCATTTTCCATGTGTTTGCCAATAACAAGTGATGAACCCCTCACTTAACCTTTTTCTAAAATCTGATACATCTGCTTCTGAGCTTTGACAGCATAGAATAAAGTCCATAATGTGCCTGAGAATAAATGTAAACATCTGAGAAGCTTTGATTTGAATCAAGTTTATTTCAATACAGGGTCGAGTSTGTTTAGACTTTTGTCATATTAATACTGAGATAAAACCAGCCATKTAGTGACCTTTAGTACTCTGAGCTATGAAAGTGTTTTTGGAAGTGGTTATAGAGTCTGTACAGAATTGTGCTGCTGTTCTAATTCACTAAGCTACTAGAAAATCATTAGTTCTAAAACAGACTAAATTTTTAATCTTTATTTTCCTTTTAATGATGGATGTTTCTCAATTTACAGCTTTGACTTCTTGCATCTTTTTTTTTCTGGGAGATAATCAGTCTAGCTTTTGTAAACGTTTAGCACTGTACTGTAAAATACAGAATTTTCATCACTGTTCCTATAGGGGAGACATGCTTTTGTCACCAAAGCTACATGCTGCTGTTTTTTATAGCCTCTAGGAAATGTGTGACAATGAAGGACAATTCGAAACTAATGATTTTTTTATTTTAAAGTACAATTTCTACCCTTTTTTTTAGAGCCAGAGCTTTAAGCTAGAATATTAGAATCCATAAAGTCTTAACAAATTTGAAAACCTTTTACTTTCTGATGTACTTATTGATGGAAGAATTCAAAGCTTTTAATCAGCTCATCTATCCTCAAACATAGGTAAAAAGTATACATTTTGTCTTATTAATAGATACTACTGCTTTTAAAAATGAATTTTAAGCATTTAAAGAGAAAAATCCATATCTCTTAAGCAAATCTGCCCAGCCCTCAATTTTTCAGGTGTCTAAGCATATAACTGCCTCAAATATGTGCCGATTGCATTGTAGGATAAAASCCTGAGCTATGATGTTTTGACTGATTTTGCTTAAGATTTAAGGTTTCTTTTTGCATTCTTAAATGTAGACAGATTTTGCTACTCACGTTGTCATAAACAAGCCTTGGAAGCATGGCCTCTCTACAGTTGTTGGCAKGTTGTGCTCTAGGTTCTGTAGGAATTGTGGTATCAGAACTGAGTTTGTGTCTCTGRAAACCAGGAGTGGTTAACATTGTAGTGTTTGTTTTTTGTGGCACATCATTCCAGGTCCTCCTGCCACATGCAATTAGCTTTGGTTTGCAGTGTCCTTGCCCTGCAGTGCCAAGCAGAATGTTCCCAGAACAGTGGGCACCATGGCTGAGCTGCTGAGGAAGTTCAGCAGCTGCATCATTTAGACTTGTTTTACTGAAGTGTTGCCTGKTTTTTGAAATACCAGCCAAGACTATTTTCCTCCTCCAATTTAAATAATTTCAGGGTATATCTCTTTAAGTATCAAATGTGCAAGTGTGTTGATGTTTAGTTTTACAGAAGTCTAAGTGCACTATTTTGGGATCAATTCAGGCTTCAGTATTTTCCACCTACTTCACTTGGAGTTTGAAAACAGGATTTGAGACTGCAGCTCCTGAAAACTGGAGTACTTTATAGAAGTCTACAGGTGGTAGACAGGACACATAGAATTAGAGTGCCAGACCAAAACTGAAGTGTGAAATTCCTCACTGTGACTTTAAACTTGTAGCTTTCTAGTCTAGAGAAAAAAAAAATACTGTGCCTTAAACCAGTAAATGAATACACTCTAACTGTAGCCTGTGGACTTCCTTATATTTATAGCCTTATATTTGATTTTTGAAGTTGACCAAAAATATTTGTGTGGATCATACTGAAACTTGATTTGGGGGAAGGATTTAAAAAAATTATTTTGACCCTATGTTACACTTWGAGAAATGGAGATTCATGGCAAGTACACTGTATTTTCTGTTTGGAATCACACCAACCAAAGTCAGAAAGCTTTAGCTGACCTGAAGTTTTCAAACCTTTCTGATGTGACCAAAAGAAAAATAAGGAAGGAAAACTAGTTGCAGATATCTGTCTCAACTTTGAAGTCTGTGTGTYAAATGATTTTTAATCATTTTGCTCTTTAGTCCTCAAAAAAACCCCAACTCTTAAGTATAGTTTAAGCAAAATATTGTATTTAAGCCATTGAATACCAAAATCTTTGCCAGTGTGAGAAGAAAGCTAGGCAGGAGTGGGGTTGATTGTTTGTGTTAAGGCTCCAGAAACTCTGAATACTAAATTTCACTTTTTAGGAAAAATCTYCATATATTCTTATATCCCTGAAAATGCACATGTAAATTCCCTTTTGGGGGAGGGAGGGAATTCATACATTGTTCTTCCTAATTCATTAAAGAAAACTGGAAATACTTAAAATCTTAAAATCTTGTTTTAATATAGTAGAAGGATTTCTTATTTATATTTTTTTTTTAATACAAAGAGCTTAGGAAAAGCCACCGCTGGCTTTCCCTATTTGTATCTATCTTTGTGTGTTTGAACAAGCCCCCACAAATTTTGGCTTCCCCACCCTCCCATATTAGTACCAYRTAGCCCAGAATCTTGACAAGTGATSCMATCTCAGAGCTTATTGTTGTACTGTGGGTATTTAGAACATGCACACAAAATGATTGCATGACAGCTGGTCACAGCACTGGTTTGAAGCAATACAGAGCAAAGTTGTTAACTTCCTTTTATTGAGCACTGACTTGAGTCTGGGTGCCACAACGCTGCTGATGCTGTGGCACAACACAGAATGTGCAATTTTTGTGTCTTCCCTGCTCCTTCCTTCGGTGGGCTGGCTTAGGACTTTTAAAACTCATTCCAAACTTTTTATTTTGTGATGATGTTTCAGCTATCCAGCCACTGGTGATTTTCTAGCCACTGGAATACTSCAGTATTGAAACCATTGAGAAGGTAGAACTACCTTTCACTCCTTTCTTTAAGATGATAACTCGAGAAAAACTGTGTAAGTTGATTCACCACTTACCTTTTAATTGTTTTTCCAAGTACAAAGACAGAATAATGTTGGCCAAAATACCTGGTTTGGGTGATTAGAGGGGAAGCAAGGATTGGTTGGTTGGTGGTAAAACGACTTAAAAGTTTGAAGAAAACATATGTAGTTTTTGGAAAAATCTATTGCTTTTCAATCAATCTGCGTTACATGTTTTTAGCACTTCTTTTGTTTTCAGTTCTTATGTAGCCATCACAAATCTAATATTGTACATGGAACTAACTGTTAATATTTACAGGTTTTTAGAGATGTTGACAGGGTCTTATCTATCAATGTGTGAATAATGCTGTAGCAAATTATTGTGCTTATTAAAATGTTTATAACTAAGTTCTTACAGATCATGCCATGTATCATAAACTTTGGCAAAGTCCTTGTCTTGTGAGATGCTGAGAAAACCTTGGATAAGAGATATTTTCAGATAATGTTGAAATTGCTGAAAGATGTAATCTCTTAGTCTTAAAAAAACTGTGCATTTAGATACTGCTACTTTTTTGTTGTAGTTGAAAGCAACTTGATTGGGACCTACTCTGGGATGTTCATATTTTGTTTGGTGGTTTCCCTGTCTGCAATGTGTACTTCAGGTTTTTTTGTCTTTTTTTTTTTAATTTTAAATCTAAGAGTGCATGACATAGAGTACATTGTATAGCATATCTCTGCTAAATAAACACTTCTGTATATTTTTGTATGGTATCCCAACGTGCTTGCATTGGTAAAAATGGTTGTAATTCACAAAAAGTGCCACTTACCTGTCCTGCTCTGTGGAGTGTTGTGTCACCTGTACTGTTGTGCAGAGTTGCTGATGAATGTTGTGATGAACATTTGCTGTTAGTCTTGGCTCAGGTACTCATGTGGAGCAGTTTGGTGCTTTTCCTTCTCACTTATAATACTTTGGATTCTAAACAGAAAATAAAAGTAGWAAACAAAAGCCTTGTGGTTGGAGCAGTACTTTAACAAATGCTTCCCTCACATCTCAACAAAGATCTCACTAGATGGAGCTTGACTCAGTATCTTAGTTCCAAAGCCTTAGGCTTCATGAATGGGAAAAGCAATAAAATTCATAATGTTTGGTGAATAATACAGTTTGTATAGAGTATCATATGTATAAATCTTGTTCTCACATAAACAAATACATTTTAAATTTTTACCTTTTAGAGGTGAGTTGCATGGAACTGAGCAAGCCTGCCTATGACCATTTTCATCTTCAGTGCAGTTCAATTCCAACATACATTAATATTACTGTGCCAGARAGGTTGTATAATTAGTACAGACATTTTGAAAAGATTTGATTCACTGAAGATGTTTATCAAGAAAATCTGATGCTTGAATTTGGGTGCGTTAAAAAGGCTGAACATTGATATCTGGCTTTGACAGCATTTGTTAAACTTAGCTGCTGTTCTCAAAGGAGGATGCAATTTTATTCGTTCAATGTAAGTATAATAATGGTATTTTAATATGAATTTGTTCTGCTTATAATTGACTTAATCTGAGGGAAAGAATTTAAATTGTTAAAAAAAGACCAACCCCCACATAAAAATGAGCACRAAGTCGAAAAAGACTTTTAGCTGCAACAGTTTCTCAAAGCTTTTAGCTCAGGAATCAACAATACAAGTGTGTTGTTTTTTTAGACAGCTCAGAGAAAATATAATATAATGAATGAAATATGAAATCTCTTGCATAATGCTAATATATGAAATCTCTTGCATATCTGCATACTTCATCAGTCACCCAAATTGCCTGAGTTCCTCCGGTAATAAAGATTGTTTCATATTTGCAGATGACTTTGGTATGTTTTACTAGCTGAATATACTGCCTATCCCTCAGTTCTTTATAAAGAAATCAAAGGAATAAATTAATTGAGGGGGAAAAGGAGGCAGAAGAAAACTGCCAACTCTTCTGGATCTTTTTCCTCCCCTCCTCTTTCCAAAGCTAAATAAGGAACTAAAATCTAATCCCAAACTGTAAATCATGCCTTTTCCCCTTTCTATCATTTTCTTTATGGGAGCATATTTCTGTTTGTGGCTGAAGTATCTACCTAAGACAGTTCCCTTCTGTTGGGGMCTGCCTTTTTACTGCTACTACTCTGTTCTTGATGAATCCACTATATGGAAGTTAATTGATTTGGCTTGATGGATTTTCGAGTGTATGATTTTTGTTTAAAATCCAAATCTGAAGAATAAGCTGCATAAAATGACTTAAATTTTTATATACKACTGTAGTCATGAAAATAACACTTCTAGGACTTTGTTTACTGTGTTGCTAATGATGTTTGGATGTCCAAATCATCACCTTCCTGGAAGGGTGGGGGTAGCTTTTCAATTTGCTTTCAAAATTTAAACTAAAGAAAAATGTAAAGCTTCTGTCGGAAATAAACATCTGTACTCTGGAGTAAGGTGATGGCCAAATATTTTTAATTTTAGCATCTCTATTTAGTGATATATTTTATGTGATACTGAATCATATATCATCTGTATAGTGGAGAGAAAAATATAGTGAAATTATAAACAAAAAGTATTATCAAAGCAGCTTTGATATGAAGAATGTTTTGCACTAAGGCCAAGGTAAATTAACCTTTGTCTTAGTTTCTAGTGTGATGGGAGGATATTAACTGCTGATAAAATCAGGGTAGGAAAGCAATACTTCCATTAAAATGTGATTTTGGATATTGAAACAGACCTTACTTTTCTCTCTTTGTCCAGCATCCGTATCTCATTTGCTTGAAAGTGATCCGTATCTCATTTGCTTGAAAACCATTAGTCACCACTCTAGAGATATGGCTAATTCCTTTTAATGAAAAATAATGTTTTGATACAGCTGTGTTATTTCTATGGGGAATTGTTTTAAACTTACATGCCTACCACCAATTTTCTGCAGTCCAGCTTAGGAGGAATTTATACTGCACTGTTCGATAGCAACAGGTCTTAAGAGTATCAAGGATGAAATTCTCAAGGGTCTTTATGTCACGGATGGAAATGGAATCATTACTGTATTTTTGAATTCCTGCTAACGTCATTGACACCCACCTACAGTCTACTAGAAATATAAGTGCAGGGATCAGGCTGTTCACAGATTACAAGGAGACCAACCAAGAAGGGGCAAGCCAAAACCAAATTCACTGGTAAGCTCTATTTTAAATAATATGTAAGAGAGAATTTCTTTTCTCCCTTTGAGTAAAGGTGTGAAATGGGTCTCTAGTTTATAGTAATAGGCTGTATTAAATAATACTGCACTTATTATTATGTTGTAAAATTTAATTTAKGCAATTTTAAAAATGGAGTTGTCTGGATCTTGAGCCATATTTTTGCATTCTCCTTGGAGCACACAGAGTTCTGATGCTGTTATTAGCCATTGCAGGTGGCTATATGTAATACATGTAAACTTACAAATGTATATTTTGTGTTGTTTTCTACTAGTCCCTCAGAAGAGAGTCCAGTCTAGGAACAGCTTTGGAATGGGGAACACTTGTTTCGAATAATTTGTTCTTCAAGTACCTTAGTACTATGAAAACAAAAAGTTGATAGCACGTGGATGTAATCTGCAGTAGGCAGATTTCCCTTGGGATCACATAATTTATATGTTCCCAGTGACAGCTCTGTAGGACTTTAAAAATATGTCTGTTTGTCCTTCTTACAGTCTGTTCATCTCCAGCATGTGGAAAGTGCTGCTCCTGGGTCTATATATAGTACTGGCTGTGAGAGGATTGGCMAAGGGTGCTCCTTTCCAACCAGAAGAAAAATGGAAACCTCTYGATAACCCCAGGAACAGAGACCTGGTAAGGAAATGTTTCAAGAAAGAGAACTGAAGTTTTATGTGGCTTTTTGTTTTCCATTGAGAGACTTCTAAATTTAAAGGCAAGAGGGGCCCAGTAGATGTAAYGTCAGCAACTGTGTGCACTTTGTGTAGTCAATAATCATTTCTCAGTCAAGATGTACCCCTTTAACTGAGGAGACATCCTCAAAGTGTAGTACTGCATAAAACTTCCTTATAGCTCCATCCAGCAGCTTTCATTTTTAAAAAATTATTTTGATTATACAGCTACTTGTTTTATGAAACAGAAGAGGAATGATTGCTATGTTTCTTTCAAATGTGTGCTCTGATTGCATGTTGTTTCATCTTATAGAAGTACAAATAACTTTGCATCTGACAGCTAAGAAAMTATCACTCAGCAAACATTTGCACGATCATAAAAGGAATTTGTGAAGGAAAAGAATTGGCTTCCCGTAGTTTTTCCTCACTGTTTTAGGAAGCATTAGTTTCTACTTTGAAGTGATTGTAAAGGGACAGTTGTAATCAATTGCCCACTGTTACTGAAATGTTTAACAGAAATGTTTAACAGAAGTGTCCTGTTTGCTCTCAGCAAGGGTTTGGCTGTGCCTGTTTTACAAGAGATGCAGTTACATCACAGCCCCTGGGAATCAGTGGGGAGCATAAATAAGCAGCAAACAGTTGGTGGTCTTTCTACTTCACATAAGATGTACAAGCTGTGGATGGAGTGGATGTGTTTGAATTATATTGCCTACACTGTATCAGTTTACGATCGAAAYAGAGGACTTCATCCCACAAAGGAACAAATATTACATCTAATTAGTGTCAGTAGAAATAATTAATCTCCATTGGTCATGCTCTACTTATTTTCACATCTGCAATATGTTCAGTTTTTCAGAATGCTCCAGGCTTACTTTTCGGGCMGGGGCCTTGATCTCAGAAAGTTCCCAGCTACTTTCACTATGAACAATGAAGGACCAAGGCCTGTCATGTTCTACTCAGATCCTATTGCTTCTGCATTTGCAGATTATGAAGAAAGGAAAAAATCTTTTCAGAATTATTTCCAAAGCTGAAAGATTCTGCTCACAAAGGTAAAAGAGGATGCCGTGTCCTCTAAATGTTGGTAGATGTAAYAAAGATTCTGACTGAAGTATAAAAGCAATTTCTTTCTCAGAAGGAATTAAAAATGTAGTACCTTAACCCTTGTCTGAAGTGGGTTTTTAAATTCTTGACGCAGAGATTTATGAGGTAATTAGTATTTAGATTAAATAACATACGGTGCTTATGCAGACATATATACACMATGCTTTTTTGTTTTCACTTTTTTTCTCCCCTCCTTCATATGGAGGAGAATTCTGAAAATGTACAGATAAAAGGGACACAAGTTTTATGTAAGTAATTGAAAACAGTAAGATTATAAATTGAGATTATTGGTTTCTTGTGATATATGTACATTAAAAAAAATTAATTTAGACATAAGTTATTCTACTACCAAAGCTACCATTATCTTTTATATTCAAGGTAAATATTGTTTTTTTCTAGTTTACAAATAGTTGAGGATTTAATTAACATTTAAATGCAAGCATTTTGGTGATTTATTCAGTATCTTAAAGGGCTTAGTTTGTAATCAATATTCATTTTAGGATTTTCAGCTCTGTACTCTTCTTGGGGTGCTTAACCCCTTTTCTCTTTATAACCAAAATTGCAGCTCCATTATCATTATTATCAGGAACCATAATAAAGACTGCACTCAAATTTGAATCCTAATTTCTCTTTTTGCTGCGTTTTTCTGTCAGGGGGAAAAAAAGAGCACACCACAGAATGTGTATTTTGTGCATGAAAAATAAATTAAAAGGGAATTCAGAAGGGTTGCTCTGCCATAAGTCACAGGAGCAGTGGGAAAATGGCTGGTGGAAGTTCTGAGTCCTTCATAATTCAGGATGGTCATYGTAGTTCTTTTCATGTTCAGAACAGTTTTGTGGGAACAGAGGTCTGCTGTTGGGGTGTTTTAGCCAGTGTTTTCTTAATTTGGATAAAGATTAACCAATGTTTATAGATTAACATATATGTTAAAAGATGTTTAAAGATTAACATATGTAACCAAAGTTGGTTACATGGATATTTCTGTATTTGCCTCACATATTTGTATTTTTTTGTCCTTTTCAGGCATTAACTTCAGAACTCCATGACAAGTGGAAACAGTCACAGCGAAGTTTTTACTGCTTTGACTTTTTAACTGTTTCCTGGCAATTGAAAATTTTCTTCCCTGACACCATTTCTACCAACGGAATCTGTTGTTCTGCTGTAATGAGCCCATTCTGTCTATTGACAAATGCGTGCTCTTACGGTTTGTGAGGAGAATTGTGCTTAAGTGTGAATAAATGAGTGCAAGTGCATGCTTTTAACGACTRCCAAATGTCTTTGTTCAAAGCTGGTAAATAAATGTTCCCTTTCAGTTTATTAGAACGAGATGTCTGTCCCAAGGTGCTCTGTGACMATTTTTCAGATCCCGTTTTGATCTTTCTTGGTGGCCTTCTGGCTGTGCGTGCCCCACCGCAGCCCTGCACACCCATTTCTCACCTTCCCCAGTCAGAATTGCAGCACGGCTGCGTGTCCAGAGTTGCAAAACCCCTTTCTGGCAGAATTTCTTAGCGATAAAAGCCGATGTCCGGTCTCCTGGGGTGGGTGTCAGCCGCTSCTCCCGCCCTCAGGGCTCAGCCCCTCAGAGCAAAGCGCGGCAGCGCCGCCCGGAACTCGCGCGAGCGGGCGCGGGCAGCGGCGGGCGCCACAGCGGGACGGACCCGGTCCCTCCCTCACGGGGCTCCCCCGCTCCGGGCCGTGCCGGGRCCATGTCGGGCTTCAGCCCGGAGCTGATCGAGTACCTGGAGGGGAAGATCTCCTTCGAGGAGTTCGAGCAGCGCCGCGAGGAGCGCAAGAGCCGCGAAAAGGTGAGTCTGCCCCGCTCGGCCGCCGCACGGCCGCGGCCGCCGCTCTCATGACAGCACCTGTCAGGGCCGCCGCTCTGTGTGTGGAGGGGATGACGCTCTCTGCCTCTGTGCTCAGCCGGGGCTGTGTGGCTACGCAGTTGCGAACTTGTGTGTACAGATCATCGTAAGCTGCCGGTGAGGTGCCGGCTGTGTGTGCGGGCAGCGCAGGATGCAGCGCTTGGTCCCCGGCAGCGCTTGGGCAGCACCGCCCGCCCCGCCGGTAATCTGTGTTGGGGTCGGAGCAAGGAGCAGGTGTGGGTATAAACTCATCCAGCGGATACTGCTGCAGCTCCCCCACCAGCATCTGTGGGAGATCGAGGGGAGAGAGACAGTGTGACTGCGCGTTTGATTTCTTGGCAGCAGTAAGTGTAGGGAGACGCTTCGTGGCCGATAGTACGCAGGTGGCGTTACTGAGAGAAAATCTTTATGATTTATCGGCGTGTTGCGGTTTACTTTAACTTAGCCGTTTGTCTGTCAAAATGCTGCTGAATTTCCGCATTTCTTGGTCTTCAGAGAGCAAATTGAGCAGAACTCAGTTTACATGGAATGATGGGTATTGGCCTAGGGCCTTAGCATTCTTACTGGATTATCAAATGGTATTTTGATATTTCATTTTATCTCTGAAAAGACAAATCTGGGCGGATTTGTAACATGTAACATTTTTTTCTCTAGTACAGTCAACCATGTCATCTTACCTTACTGTAATGCCAAATAAGCAATGAGCTGACTGGTCTCTTCAGTCAAAAGTTATGTGAACAGTCACCATCTGAGTCATGTCACAACGGCAAGAATATAAATGTCTTGAAAGCAAGTAATGCTGGGTTTTGTTCACTTAAAAACACAGTGCTCTTTTCACCTGTTTCACTAGCAGTGCAAATGGTAACTGCAAATACATGGGGAAATAAAAATGAGTCATATGTAAAACTAATAACCGATATTGTTGGTGTGTGCAGGATGGTGAAAATGCATCTGCTGAGGAAAATGAGGAAGATGTAGAGGCTTCATCTTCATCCAAAAAAGCATCTGGCAAATCCCAAAGTCAGGATGAGACTGACGGTAGATGTTTTTAACGTAATCATTTGTATTTRAAAAGGCATTGGAAGCATTTGCGCTTTGGTAACTGCCTTCATAAAAAACTGGCTCCATTTTTCCCCTTTTGATCTCTGAAAGGACTGAAATAAAAGGGAAATTAAATTAATAAATAGAGTTTTTTCAGATGGGGAGAAGAAAAATCTTGGGTTTAGATGCATAATATCCTAGTCAGAATAAAAAAAAACCACCATATCCAATTTGATGAAAATAACTATAAACTCGGGGGTAGTCCCCAATTGCCTTTTCTATAGAGGCAATACATGGTAGATCTGTTTTTCAGTCCCAACTTTATAATGTGGTTATTTTTTGATCAAATCTTCAGGTGCCAAATCCCCCATCTCAAACCTTTGAACCCTACATATTTGYGGTATTGCATATAGATATTTGTGGTCAGTTATAACTCTGGGTTAAAAAATAATGAGAAGTTGTAAATAAAAACTATGAAATTTTTAAAAAATGCATGAATTAATCATTTATTCAGAGTATATAGCATCATTTTCTTAATTATTTTAAAAAATTCTGGTTTTTTTCTGGAGAAATGCAAATAATCTGGATTTTGCATTTACATACTTTTAAGGGTACTTGTTGTCATGGATGGAATGGTTACATGATCTTCTTTTAAATTACTTCTAAAAATTGGCTGCTGTATTGTTGTGTAGTAGAATTCTCTGCTCACTTACAGCCTCTTCAGCTGAAAAGCTCAGTGCTTGAAAACTACTTAACATTCTTCTGGATTGAAAAAAATGTTGATTAAACTGTTGCTTCATTCTGTTTGTTCCTCTGTGCTTTCATTTCAGATAACTAAAAATGTTACAGGCTAGGCTATACCAAGCATTGGTGATGAATAATGCAGAGCTTTAAAACCAAAGAGGCTGGTAATAGTTTTTCTGCATTTCTTCAAGCASCATTCTTACAGAATAGCTGCTTCAAGTGGGATTCTGTTTTCTCTCCACTTGTCCAGATAGGCAGTGTGTACTCTTCATTATATCCTAAACCTATTTTATTTCTCTCYCAACCAGGAGAAACAGCAGATGGGGTCAGTAAATCTGTTCATCGGGTCTTTGCGTCCATGCTTGGGGAAAATGAGGAGGAGGAGGAGGATGAAGAGGAGGAGGAAGAAGAAGAGGAAGAAGGAACTACTGAGCAGCCYACAGCTGGAGATGTTTTTGTTTTGGAGATGGTTCTTAATCGAGAGACCAAGAAAATGATGAAAGCAAGTATTTAAACTGTCATGTGACTTCCCCATAGCTCCTGACCATAGTGCATAAATGCCACTTTGTGTGACTTTTAGCTGCTTGATGAGAAATTTGCCTGAAAGTTGCTCCATGCCAGATAACTATGCTTATGCTGGTGTTTAGATTTTATAAAATCACTGTAGTTTACTGTTTGAAAGCTTTCAGAAATCATGAAACCCACTTTTCCAGTGTCAGGAAACTCTTGAGTGTTAGCAAATCTTTTGGTTGGTCATTTAATATTGGTAGTACTTAAATAACATAGTAATAGGTTGTGTTAAGGTCTGTAACAGGATGTCTCCTGAATTTGGGCACAACTTAACCTTGGGCAGAAACAGTATCCCTTTTCCATTTAGGAGAAAAGACCTCGCAGCAAACTTCCTCGTGCCTTRAGGGGTCTGATGGGAGAGGCCAACATCAGGTTTGCCCGAGGAGAGCGTGAGGAGGCCATTCTGATGTGCATGGAAATCATTCGGCAAGGTATGGGACAATGGGCAAACTTTCCCATGTGAAGTTTCCATGTGCAGGAGGAGGATTCAGTGTGGCTTCATTGAAGATGAAAATAAACAGTACAGGCAAAGTCAGTGTATAAGTAGTATGGAATTAAGAATATGTGGTGCATTTCCTTTATTTTTTTGCTTRTAAAAGAATGAGCATCCCAGTTCTGCAGAGGCCTAGGCCTTGACTTAGCTTTACACAGTTTGCTTTAATTGTCTTCRTAGATGCAAGGTATAAACATCAACATGACTTTATAGTGTAGAATTATACTATAAATGGTTGTTGTTAGGTTYAGGCAGGCTGTTTAATAATTTATAGAAATCTATCAGAATCTTCTCTGCAAGTTTTTCCTGAATTTAAACGGCGCATGTGGGTGTTTCATGTAGTTCTGATACCTGTTCTTGGAGAAACGCTAGTTATTTGTTTTCAGTGTGGTTTTTAAACAATARATCTTAGTAATTCTTTTTGTCTTTTCACAGCTCCTCTTGCTCACGAGCCRTTTTCCACTCTTGCTATGATCTATGAAGACCAGGGTGATATGGAGAAGTCACTACAGTTTGAACTGATTGCAGCTCACTTAAATCCTAGTGATACTGAGGAGTGGGTTAGACTGGCAGAAATGTCACTGGAGCAGGACAATATTAAACAGGCTGTTTTCTGCTACACAAAAGGTAGTGTTGCAAGCATTTTAATAATTAGAAATTAATGCCAGGTGCTAGAGGCAGTAATTTTGTTTTCTCCTTTCTAGTTTAGTTTGCTTCAGGGTGTTAAGATTCTGATACCTCTGTCTGGACTTTGATAAAAGATTAATGAATCAGTAATACAGGATGYCCTTGCAAAAACCTTGTGCATGCCCATTAAAAAGAATCGAGGAAATGAATATGAAATCCATTGTTGCCTTTTCCTAAACTGCTCATATGCTGCTGCTTCCTCCTAGCTCTGAAATATGACCCAACCAAYGTGCGCTATCTGTGGGAGAGATCCAGCCTGTACGAGCAGCTGGGGGAGCACAAGATGGCCATGGATGGCTACCGGCGCATCCTCAACCTGCTGGCTCCCTCTGATGGAGAGCGCTTCATGCAGCTGGCCAGAGACATGGCCAAGTGAGTTTACAAATACTGGGCTTTGCTCTGCCAGAGGAGGCTTGTGGTTGAAGTGTGTAGCTCTCCCACAGTAGTTTTTATTACCTTGTTTTTATTGACCACTTTGTGTCATTTCTTGTGGAAAGTTGTTACTGTCCTATTTCAAAACAGTTTAAGGTCTTTTGATCTTTGTGTTTGTGAAATGTACCAAAAAATGCTGGGATGTGTATTATAACRGTATTGTTATTGAAGGTTTCTGAAGCCACGTTAATGTGGTGCCTGATTGATGCCTGSCTCCAGTGGGGACACTGTGATGAAAACKCCAGTGATATCCTAACAAGTAGGGGAGAAGAAAATTAGTTATTTAAAATACATAAAAATTGTCAACARGTATAAGGAAAGCAAAACCACTCCTTTTCTCACCATCTTTTATAACTTCCTCTTGAA